ATGGGGTCTTGATGACCCTGGTCAGCCGCAGCGATTGGACGAGCCTGACAGATCTACAGTCCCAGCCCACTTTCGATCCCTGGCTCGAGCATAGCGTCTCCAGGCGACTGCTTAACGCCCGACCGCTTCGACTCGACGCTGGAGGACACAATTTCGCGACATGTTCCGCCTGAAGAGAACGGGAGGCTGACCTGAATGGGTGGCCGATGGGAGACGAATGACAGATTGCTACCTGCCATGATGTTGAGGCCGGGGCAACGACAGGTCGGACTTTGGACCAACTTGGAAGTCTCGACCGGAACGTCATTAGTTCGCCAGATCTCTCCTTCTGGGCAGAACCAAGACGAATGCCTAATTCTCAGCCGCGGAAGACTTTTACGAATGCCTGTAGGTCTATCGGTAGCTGGTCACTGGTCCGATGCAAAACAAACGAGAATTATATGCAATTCAGTTTAGAGGCATACCAAATAATTAGGCTATTGGTGGATGCGGCTGATGTAGGGGCTGAAAGGGGGATTTCTCACAGTAGAATAGGATGGAAGACCTCCCAATATATTTGCCTCTTTACCTCAGCCTGACCCCTCGAAGGGCTTTATTCCCGCGAGTCGACTGCATTTTCAACGCGTCAGATCTTGAATCGGTAGATAAAATGGGATTAGAGTGCGGCATATGATATGGCAAAAGGCCTAACCTTCCTTGAAATTTACATCTGCCCTGTGACCCAACGGCACTCGTGGCAATGTGGCCGAGTGGTTAATATGCCCAACTCACATTCCACACTGTCGCGGTTCGACTCCCGCTGAGGGTGTTGATAAGACCAGTTGATGAGAGGTCGAAACTGCAGTCCACTTCTTTCTGAATGAGAACAACTTGTTGGAAGGCAAGGCTATGTGAAATGCAATGAAAACGTTAGCTCTACTCATATCATTGTGGGAAAATTCTACTACCAGTCCTTCATCACCTCAAATGAAATAGGCTGAATACATCTCATATTACTGATTTACTGGTAATCTCCAAGCTCTACTTAAATATGAAAAATTTATTAATAGCCTACTATTTTTAAAAGATTCCACAAAATTGGCGGGCAAAAGGGCCCAGCACCAAAAAACATACCTTGAATAAGAGATTCGTATATGAATTTCACCAAAGGCTTTGTTACGACCTTCAGGTTGACGCAGTCCACGAGCCATTGTCCCCCACCGACTCTATCTTACGCCTCTCAACGGGATAGAGTTGTCTTGGATATTGTTTAACGAGAAGACAATTGACAAGAAGTGGAACCATACATACGTTATAAATATCAGAAACTTGGAAGTTTTTGATAAGATACTCTTAAGACTTTACAAAATTACTTAATGATTAGAGTCTGATCATTAGACGATAGAAAAAGGATATTTGCTGGTAAATTTTGATTTAGTTTATATTTTCACTAACAGGCCGATAGACCAGGTTAAGAATTAACTTTAAACCAACACCCTGAAATTAGAACAGATAAAGTTAGGTAAAGAATCAATCATTAGATTATTCATTTTGTCAATCAATAATACATAATTTCAACTTAAATGAGAAGTTGTATAAGCAACAGGTTGCTTGGTTATGAGATCTTGTTCGACCACTATTTTAGCTAATAATTACGTGGTCCAATTAGAGTTTAGAGTTTTTTAATTAGCACTCCTAGTTTCAAAGTTATTAATTCACTACATGGACGATTGCTTTGTCGGCAAAAATAGTTCGGGTAAACTCCTTGAGCTAATAAGTAGAATGGATGCCAAGACTAAGTTTACAATGGGGCTAGAAAAGTGGAAGAGATTACTTTTTTTTATTTATGCGTATAGGAAACCTACACACGCGGGTTTACTTATTAATTTCTTCTCCAATCATATCTATAAAGTAAAGATAGTTGTGAAATCAATGTTGATAATGAGTCTGCGCCTAGACGTAGACCGCAGGGACCAGGATATCGGTAGATTGAGGCATATATTGTTTCATAAAAATTAGTAGATAATTACATTTCATTTGTCAATAACAAGATGAGGGGAATTTGCTATCTGGTCCAAAATAGACAGTTGGACCTTACCGCTCGGTTACTGATTTCGTGTTCCTGTCAGCTTGCGAAAAAGTAGGGTGATCTACTGAGGCAGTGGAATATCATAACAAAGTTTAAGGAGAAATTAACACTTTCTTATGTAGACCTAACAGACCGGATTGTGACTGATTCGAATTCGGGCCTTATCGATCGTGCCATGGACAGACACGTGGACTGGCGTGCAAGTGTAATGCGCAGGCGTGCTGTGCACTGCCCGACTTCGAACGGCAAGTCACAGAGACACCGGCTCAGACGCCCAAGCAGCCAATCAGCTTTGCGATCGCCCTCGCAGGACAGTGTGCCGTTCACCTGAGCTGGTTTAAAAAAACTGGCCTACAATTGCATTTGACGAAACTATTCGCTACTGAAGGGCCTTCCATTTCGTATGAAAGGGCATGGTGAAATAGTCACGTCACTCATCCTCTCGCATACCAAGTTGCCCACAGGCTAGGAAGGAGAAATTGTCTACATTCTGCTGCATGCCGAAGCGTTGATTCAGACGCTTTGGTGTGCGAGATGAACCAATGAGAGTCGGA